TGCAACAATAAGCAAGGGGTGTTGTATTCCAGTGGGCCTCCTGTTACCGCAGAGGCAGAGATAAACGTACTTGCCGATGTCCTTTATGCTACTCGCTGATACAATATACACCCTACACAATAGGAGAAAATGAATGAAATACAACAGAAAAACAGAGACTAGTGCTGCACCACTTCGACTTTTAAGAAGTTTAAGTTTTCCGAGCATCCACAGAAAAAAATACGTGCAATGTGCCAGATGTCATAGATGGTTGAGAATCATGCGACATAATCTCGGTCAATGGCACATGAAACGTGAAAATGGGCAGTGTATTATCTAGTATATGGATTGATATGATGACATTTAAGAATCAACATGGAAACACTAACATTCAGCAAAGAAATCTCCTTCCAATATATAGATGGCGTTCCTTCACCTTGCGCATGCGCATCACAAACCGGAACGCGAAAACCCGCCAAAGCGAAATAACGCTAAAGCGACAAAGCGAAATAACGCCAAAGCGGAGGCAATGCACGTAGAGCGCTACCTATATAAAGACTTAAACAAATCAATCAAATACAACGTTTTTAAAGCAATTCCGAACATGTTTTCTGTTATCTGTTCGAATAACTTGAATTGATCAATCAGCATATTTTTTTTAGTCCTATGTAAGTCATTTTTTTTATTTATTTATTTTGAATTCCGCTACAATTCTTCTTCATTTCATCTCATTGGTCATATTCAGCTATAATTTATTAATCATGTAATTCAATAAACTAAGTATTCGTAAACAGATTCATCAGTTTGTTATGTATAAAAAGGCTATGTTCTTGTTTGCTTTGAACACAAACAGGAATTTAAAATTGAATTTGCGAGCTTTCGAAAACATCTGTTTCCTTTGTCAAGCATTGTCAGGTATTATTTAATTACAGGGTACAACCAACACCCATTCATTTATATCGAGAAAAGCTTCAAAGCAATTTAAATTTAACATATATGTTAATGGGTATCTAACTTCAAATTTCATAACAATTCGTATCTTCTAATCTATCAGTAACATACACTATGCCTATTTGAAAACCACATTAAATACCTGTCATGAAAAATGTTTTTGCCTTATTTAAACTGTAGTTCAGCACATTGCTCAATTCAGGAAAATTCTCTAAAAAAAACAACGCAATATCATAGATAACGTTCTGTTTTAAACTAAAACGATAATGTATATTTATCGCGTAAGTTCAATTTAAACATTATTCTATTCAATAATTACTGACATTGTAGTCTAGTGGTAGGGCGTCGGCCTCGTGACCGAACGGTTGCGGGTTCGAGTCACGTCACGTCACGGTACTGTGTTGTATCTTTGAACAATATACTTTACTCCGATTGTTCCAGTCTACTCATTATTATTACAACAACAATAATATAAAAAAAACTGTAATAGATAAATAGGGATTTGACAGCAAGCTCAAAGTAAAACGAAAAGACGAAGTAACAAAGAGACGAAACATAGACAAAGCGAAAAGACGAAATAATGCCAAAGCTAAAAGAAGAAAAGGCGAAAAGCGAAATAACAAAAAGACGTAATAAGAAAAAGACGTAATGACGCCAAAGCGAAAAGACGAAATAACGCCAAAGCTAAAAGACGAAATAACGCCAAAACGAAAAGACGAAATAACTCCAAAATTAAAAACGAAATAACGCCAAAGCTAAAAGACGAAATAACGCCAAAGCTAAAAGACGAAATAACGCCAAAGCTTAAAAACGAAATAACGCCAGAGCAAAAAGACGAAATAACGCCAAATCTAAAAAACGAAATAACGCCAAAGCGAAAAGACGAAATAACGACGAAATAAAAACCAACAAAGATGATAATTTAATAACAAAAAAAATAAAATAAAAGCTTTCTCAAGTACAATGTACATCCTATAAACAAAAGGAATAAAAATAACGCAAACTTATGATGCATTATACCATAACTAACTTTTAAATGTATCCTTTCAATTCTTTCAGGAAATAAAGAAATGTTCTTATATATTTTTTAAATATTCTAATTCCCCAACATATTTTTTAAAATATATACCAAACGTTTTTGGGTCATACTGTAACACATTTATTTTAAAAGATTGGTTAATGGAGAATACTAGATCGAGCTAAATTGTCGACTTCAAACTGCTATGACTTTAACTTATACAACCATGCCGATATTTAGAACCGGTATTTTCTCGAATATGATGAGACACTCATGAGGAAAATACGTACCCGTGAATTCACAATACTCAACAAGAAAAGAAGAAAAAAATGGCATATTGCGAAATACTTGCCCAGTTAAATCCTACGGCATTGAAATCGATAGGTCTACATCCCTAATTTGAAATCCTTTATTTCAGATATTCGCGGAAAACTACATAAAGGAATTTCTTGTTAACATTCAGTCAGTGGCTTCGAAAAAGACTACGTCATAGGGCGTGGAGAAATGTTCAGATTTGTTATAACAGTTTCTTAAGGTCATAGGAGTGTATTGCTAAACGGAAGTAGGAAGTACATCCCTAGTTGAAAATCCAATGTAGGGAGACAGTATCACAATTTCTGCATATTCTAATGTTTAATATTAAACTGATGAATATTGTATGCTTATCATTGACAGAACAGTGTGTTCTTTCAATATTTAAGTATTGCAAAGCAATCCAGTCATTAATTCAGTTGTTTTTTGATCAATGAGTCACATGCGTCCATTTTTCTGTACTTCAGGAAACCGGCTACCTATTTCACTACTGTGAAGTTTTCCAAGAACGATAACTCATTGCATGCAGTTACTATGTGTATATGGTTTTATTATAAAATGTCAATTTTTAATCGTTTATAGATGATTAATTTTATACAATTTCAGCATTTATGAAATTAATATACATTAATGCAATACTAATCTATGTTAGTATCATTTTTAATGACATTATTTTGCAAAAGAAAATGTGTGTTTTCAAAATTCAATCCTTTTTACATAAATTTCCATTTAAAATCCTTAAAATTCTGACAACCTATTTTTTTGTGGCAGATTTTTTTTCTTTACTTCAAAGCAATATAACTACAAAATTTGAATAAATTCTACTGAGAAATGGCGACACAATCCTATTACCTTAACTAAATTACATTTGAGTTTTATTATTTAAAGAATATAGCATGACCCTCAAGTTCGACAGTAAACTGTAGCAGGTGAAACAAATTCAGACCGAGACTCGAACCCGGATCTACCATAAAAATATGGTTACTCTTTCTTGAGATACCTGACTTTAAAATTATCTAAGTACGTACACTCAATTTAAGATTATTTTCATATCATTAAAGTAGACCTAGTTCTAACCTTTCAGAAATTGAGAACATTTTACGCCGAGTGCCCGCCTTAAATTAAGTAAAAACGACTAGCAGCCAGAATGACTGAAGGCTAATCTAGACAGCACAATACATGTTCTATGCAGAGTATCACAACAGCAAGAAAGCGTCTCCTGGGCGATATTGGGGGAACAATTGTCGGAGATATAGAGTTCAATGCAGCAAATAATATCATTTTTTGGGTTTAGGTTCCGGAATTCAGGAAATGAAACTTAAACAGACTCAAATTCCCTCCTCGTCCTCCTCAGTCGTTGATGTCGTTGACGACTCCATGCTAAACGAGTGCTACCTCTATTATAGTTGTATACAGTTTAAATATATTTATGTGTAAAAACAGGATAACATTTTACAAATTTTACAAAAAGAAAACTCGGTACTTGACTCTCATATAGACATCGCATACACCTGTGCCCCCCACTCAATTTTACAAAAAGAAAACTCGGTACTTGACTCTCATATAGACATCGCATACACCTGTGCCCCCCACTCCGGCTTTTTCCGGTTATGTATGCGTCAGACTCAATCGTGACATTGTCATTTATCTATGTAGAATGCTATCATTCATAAATATATTACGTAGGAAAACTGTAAAACAATGTAGCTATTTTTTTCTCGTCCTATTACGCGCGTTTCTCATCGGCTTATTTTCTATTTTTTCCAGTAATATCGGCGCCCTCTCCTAAAATATATACAGAGCACGTACACCATATTTATAACACATGGGTATAACTATGCAGAATGTAATGACATTATTTCATTATCGGAAAAATAACATAGAAAAGAACAAATCTAAACTATTATCAACGACAAAATTCATCGTATAAACAACCTCCTATTCTATATAGTATACATATACGTGTAATCACGTACATATTTCTTATTGTTCAGCCAATAACAATAGTACATTCTGTTGGTTGGAATACATACATTATTTAACAATGATAAACTTATTAATCATTGTTGTTGTAAAATGTTTCCTAAAATGCTGAAACATAAGTCATATTTGTGCATTTTAATTTCCGTTTCACTAGCTAAGTCATTGGGGTATCATAATCACGGAGATAGCGTTTCTTTAATATCCAGAACCGGAAGGCAACAAAGCGAAAAGACGAAATAACGCCAAAGCGAAAAGACGAAACAACGCCAAAGCGCCAAAGCGAACAGACGAAAAGACGAAAAAGCGCCAAAGCTAAATAACGAAATAACGCCAAAAGGAGGGAGAAAAGACGCCATTTCATCTCCGCTTTGGCGTCATTTTCACAAAGCGAACAGACGAAAAGACGAAAAAGCGCCAAAGCTTTGGCGTTATTTCGTCTTTTCGTTTGGCGCTTTGGCGTTATTTCGTTATTTCGTTATTTCGCTTGGCGCTATTTTGCGGGCGACAAAGCGAAAAGACGAAATGTCATATATCAGCCACCATACTTTGGCGTTATTTTCACTTCGGTTTCGCTTTATTTCGTTATTTCGTTTTGGCGGGATTTTCGTCTTTTCGTTATTTAGCTTTGGCGCTTTGGCGTTATTTCGTTATTTCGCTTGGCGTTATTTTGCGGGCGACAAAGCGAAAAGACGAAATGTCATATATCAGCCACCATACGTTTCAGCTGTTTTTGTTTACTCTTCAACACCTATCTCACCTGCGCGAACAGAGGGCTCGTTATAATTGCATGCCCGTAATTATATCGACGCAGCTGACGGTCAAAACTGGACATCATACCTCGGAGACTGTTTGGTTCATATTTGGAACTGTCTACTTTTCGCACACTCATAAAAACTCGGGAAAGCAGCGGGGATAGTTCGGGAGGGGGATGCTTTGTATGCTACGGGATTCGTTCATTTCTGGAGTTTTAAAAAATGCAGTCAATATCTTCAGGTCTGCTGAAGTTATTATCAGAGTGTTCTTGTTTGACAGTTCTGCAATAAATGTGCCAATGTCCGTTTGCTGAACAGAAACAAACCGCTGTGTTTGATGTGTTTCATTGGATGTCGTCTGCTGTAGGGGCTGGGGTGGGGTTGTACCACTGTCTGGGGTATCAACTCTAACCGATCATGCGGTAAATGAACCTCTACGTCAGTTCCATGTACTAAAACATTGTAAAATGTGTCAAACCCGCTCGGAACAACTTCTTTCACAGTGCCTCTGCCTCTGCCATCAATTGATACAGTATCTCCGGTAACTAAGTCAGCCATTTTGTTTACAAACGTAAAAGTTGTAGTGCGTAGGAATATGACCCGATTCCCACGGTGACTTGACAGGACTCATGTGCATGTTTATTGTATGTGTGCTATATGGTTTTATTGAACGGCTATATTACACGGAAAAAGCCTGTATCATATAATAAATATATATAAATATTTACTTCTGAAGTCAGGTTTAGATGGGATAGCATCGTTCTACAGTGAATAGCCATTTCTCCGTGTAAATATGTTTAATGGTAAACTTTTATTCCGTTGGGATGCCCAATATTATTCACTTTCGTCATACGCATTTTCTGTATGAAAGAGTAACAGTAAATCGATCACTTTAAAGGTTTATGCCACAAGAATTAGAAAACAGTAACAAGACATCGATAAAGCACTCCACTCCCCTCCCCAAAGTACTCTAAAACTAGGTGACAACACTCCACTCCCCAAAGTACTCTAAAGCTAGGTGACTTAACACTCCCCTCCCCAAAGTACTCTAAAACTAGGTGACTAAACACTCCCATTCCCCAAAGTACTCTAAAACTAGGTGCGCTGATTGCCTTTCATATTTTTTTCTCATTAAAACTCATTTTTTTATAATTTGTTTTCAAAAACGATCTCACTGATTTAAGCTTAAGTCCAAATGATATTTCAAAAAATTCTGATATTGAGGAAACACTAAACGTTTTAATGAAATTCAATTTCAGAGCTTTGAAACACTGTCTGCTTCGTGGAATGTCTTCAAACTTAACTTACTATTTGTGATTTTAGCATAGCTTTTGTCCATAGACAATAATTTTCCGTTTAGGACATGAATTGCTATATTCAGGAAGGACGTTTATCTAAAGTTTATTTGTTTAAATGCACGATGTACTTGACTAAAAGGTTTGATTTCGTGTTAACTTACTGCTGGCGAGTTTCAAAAAGAAACAACAACTCACCGCTTTAGAACAATAATGTCTTTATTCTGCTGACGACGATTTTCAACAAACTAAATAAACTTCGTTTGCAATAAACTATTCGATGGTTTGTAGATATTCCGTAGAAAAGTTCCATTGGGAAAATTTGTAATGGCATAGAAAATCTAAACGATAAACGGATGGTTACCATTTTTTCCAATACGGTATTGTTCACAGTACAAGTGTTCCTTGACCATAACTTTCACTATTTCGTTTTTGTACTGCTACCTCGTCTATACTTTCCAGGTCTGAATTATCCTATAGATCAGTCCTTACTATAGCTTGTTGAGCAGTTCTTGCAACAGGTGTATGCTGTTATCGATCCTTTCGTTGTCGCCACCGTTTCTATTATCCCGTTCCATTGCCCGTTCCATATATGTAGGGCTGTCGCCATCCATAACAGAGGTATTAATTCTGTCCTGGTCCTTTTTTTCTATCCTGGTCAAAGTTTTCATCGCTATCATCGTGGATTTGTTGCCTTTCATCATCTCTAACGTCTCTTCTCTGGTCCCTATATGTATCCTGGTCTACAACTTCACCTTTTACATCACGTTTGTATGGTACACCACCAATATGTCTACTCAAGATTCCATCACTAGCCCTGTTTACCTCTCTTGTGTTGTCCCAATCTGATTCCTAGGCCTCATTTTTAACCCTGATCCGATCATTTCCCCTAGCAACTTCCCAATATTTCGCTACGTCCTCACTCCTAGTCGTCTTCCAATATTTTGCTTTGTCCAAGTCCATAGCCCGCTGCCCATCTCTAGCCATGTGCCCACCTTTAGCCATGTCCCAATACCTTGCCATGTCCCTATCTTTAGCCATGTCCCTATCTCTTAGCATGTCCTCACCTTTAACCATGTTCAAATATGTAGCCATGTCCATTCCTTTAACCATGTTTAAATATCTAACCATCTCCCCACCTTTAATCATGTCCAAATATGTAGTCATGTCTCCACCTTTAGCCATGTTGAAATCTTTAGCCATGTCCCTACCTTTCACCATGTTCCAATATGTAGCCATGTCCCCACCTTTAGCCATGTTCCAATATGTAGTCATGTCTCCACCTTTAGCCATGTTGAAATCTTTAGCCATGTCCCCACCTTTAGCCATGTTCCAATCTCTAGCCATGTCCAAATTTCGAACCATTTCCCAATTTTTAGTAATTTTCAAGTCGTTAACCATATCCAAATCTTCAACCATCTTCCATTCTTTAGTCAGGTACCATGCCCCTATCCTTTGCCCTGTCACTATCTTTAGACGTCTTCCAAACTCTAGGCATATACTAATTTTTAGCCCTGTTCCAATCTCTAGCTATGTCCCAATCGTTAATTCTGTCCCCTTTAAGCATAACCCCATCTCTAGCCCTATCCTCATTATTAGTAATGCCAAAATCGTAAGCCCTGTCCCAATCCCTAGCCCAGCTCCCATATTGAGCCATATTCCAATAGTTAGCTATGTTCCTATCTTTAGTCATCTTCCAATCTTTAGCCATGTCCCAATCTTTAGCCATAAAACTATGTTTAGCTATGTCCAAACCTTTAGCCCTTTTCCTTTCTCCCACCGTGTCCCAACCTCTACTCAGTTTCCAATCTCTAGCCAAGTTTTAAACTTGTCCCAATCTTCGGGCATGTCATAATAATTTTCGCTTTGATAAAGGCTGTGTTCTTTTTCTGTTTCTTGTCTCAAGTCATCAACGGATTTTGTTTTTCTATTATTTTCTGGTTCGTCACGGACTGTAAACCGCCAGTTGGTGACTTCCTGTCTGCCTTTACGCTCGACAGACGTATCCTGTGGTAGTTGCTGGTGAGTGGCTGGACGTTTCGTCTGTGGCCTTGCCTGTGTCTGGTATACCATCGGTAGGCATATAACTACGCGAGAGGTCCTCATATTGGAATCGGTCAAATGCAAAAACAAAACAAAAATAAAATATTAACATATTTATTTATCGGCGTAAAGTTTGTAACATTGAAAATAAAATATAAGTTAAAAGCAGAATGGTATCGTTAGTAGTGATATTTCCAAGCCATCTGATAACTATAACGCAATTTTATCTCACTGAGCATTATATCTGTGTGTATTTTACGTGTAATTTATTTATAAGCAGTGCAAGATTTCTCTCTACCCTTCTAGGCGTAGATCTGGAAGTGATGTGTATGCCATGTGTATTAAGTCAATTGTATTGAGTTTTTGTCAGTAATATATCAATATGTCCTTACTGTGAAATCAATCATTTTCGTGGGTGTTTAATTTCATTGATATGGAGGGTTATCTTCATCTACGAATTCATAGATCAACGAAGTAATTATATGTTTGATAAAAAGCATTTATCTGTTTCAATGGGTACTTGTTATAAACGAATTGATTTACCCACAAAAATCGTTGGGAAACCATGAATTGGTAGTGTATATGTAAGCTGTAGTTGTTATTATTGCTTATTTGTTTACTGTCATGTTGCACTGTACATTAGTTGTATAGTTTCACATAATAAATTCGTTTAAACTGTAAGCGAAGTTCTCACTAATGACTAAATGGTTGGCTTGGTGTCTAGTTCTTACTTGCCAACGTGGCATTAACATTCAGAAGTCACTACCAACCAAATGTTAAGATTACACGTAAACTCTACCATAAAAAGGCAAATAATATTCACACATTTTTTTATGCTAAGGGATTGAATTTAAACATGAACACACAGAAAGTCAAACACATAAATATAATTAAAACAAAAATAGCAGAAAGTGATCAACTGAAATACATAATTTGATTGATACGTTTAATCATTTAGCAAGATACTTATTTTACTTGCATTTCTACTACAAATCTGTTACATAATCGTCTATATAAGTTAAAATAAATACAGCAAAATCACAAATGGTATTATTCAGTTTAACTTTTCAACCTGATTTTATGCTTAATTCTAATGAAAACAATTATTATCCTCAAGTGTAGACTAAGCATGTACACATGAGTGTTGTCCATTTTGTCTCATGAAATCTACATAACTAAATAATTGAATCAGTGTTCGATCATTGTCCAATATAATGCTATCTGTGCTTTGTTTGCAACTTTTCATTATAATTTAATTTCGAGCATATGCATATGAAGTAATGCTACACAAATATAGTGAAACCTGTGTTTGCCGGCATCCTTTAAACTATGGTATGTTTGTAAGACGCTCAAAAATATCGTACCTCAGCCCTTGATAAGGTTTCATTGACCCTTAGGTATGTTTTTTGTTTTTTTCATCATAGAAATCCCGATATATTATTATTTTACCAAATATTTAGGTTCAAAATAATATCAATGATGGCAAGGTTTAACTGTATATTAATATGTGAATAAATTCATTTTAAAGCGATATCTAATAGGAGAAAGGTAAATAATGTATGGTATATTGTAAGCAGGTACATTTTAAGGCGGTATGGAATATAAATAATCACGTATGCACCAGTTAAATGATGAGATAAGCAGAAAATTTAATTGAAAGTTTGCCATAAAAATAAAGCCATTTTTATTAACATAGTTATAAACTATTAAAATTCTAAACACATACAACAATTTGAGATGAGTTACTTCAGTGCCAACTGGTCAATGATGTACATAATAAAACGTTAATTGAATACCCTTTCTTCCAAAACAAAGAGTGTTTCCTAGATGTCCACATATAGCATTCTCATATTCAAGTAAAGTTAAGTAAACAAGTTCCTATTCATAATAGATACAAAAAGTAAACGGCAACAATTACTAATGGATCCCAGACAATTGGTGCTGAGAACAGGTTTAACAGATTGTATGATGCACCAGGACACAGGCATATACAGGACTAAACAAGAGCTAACTGAATGTTACCTGCCAGGTCCTGAAACAAAACTTTACTTACATGACGTCCTCTAGTTATAACGTCTGCAAGGGAAGTTTTCCAATGCGACGTTAAGCTCTTCAGCAGATTCGCCAAGTCTGTCCTGTTACTGAGGATTTCAAGTGTATATACCCCTCTTCTTCGCTTACAGCGTGACTGCCGAGTCAGCAACGATTGGTCTTTTTAAGTATTCATCAGAGTGTGGTATCTCTCCGATTATATCAAAACATGACAAATCTAGAAAACTTAACATTTATTTATTCTTGGCTAAGCTATCAAAAATCTTAACGCATACGGGATACATTTAACAGACTGTTTTTAAAAAATAAATATAGCAAATAAAATATTAATATTGAAAATAAAAAAGAAATATGACATAATACATGCGTTTCTCAAGAAAAATGCTCATTGGAAAATTTATTGAAAGGGTTTCAATTATTTCAATTATTTTAATTACAGTAGATAACAGATATATGACATAAGAATTCTTGATTATATTAAAGTATGGCTTGAATTGTTTTGCAACATGCTTTCTCATTAGTGATGAACCAATAAACAATATAAATACTCCTCAAAAATGCAGCATAGATAATTTGAAACACGGTCTTTGATTTGTTAACGTCAAAATGAATACCCCATTGAAAATAAAATACTGTTCTTAATAAAATAAATAAAACATTTTATATGTAATAGTTTTTTGTTTTTTTTTAATTGAATTATAGTGACTGAACTGGATAGTGATTAGGTCTATTGAAGAATTAACCAATAACCAAAGAGTATTCTGAATACACTGAGAAATCAGTGACACAACAGACGGTTGTACCTAGGCCACTTTCCTCGACCTTTATGTTCAAAATGACCAACAGGGAAGGCTTACTAGTACTGGATGAGACCTAGATGTTCATGGTAGGCGAACAGAAAACGCTTACCCTTCCGGAACACCTGGGCCCGTATTCATGAAACCGCTCTGATGCTCAAAGTAAGATTTTGTGTTAAAACCCTATTTCTTATTGATAAATTAATAAAAAAAATACGTTTTGTCAATGATCTGGAAGAATTTGGGGAGAGCCGTACGGCGGATTACCGTTTCATTCTTGACTGTGTTACATGATTTTAGCTAGTTGTCATCTTCGTACTTTTTCAAGATCGATGCGAATTTTCGAAAAAAGATATTATCGCACGAAATGTATGTTGTTTACTGCTGGCGATATATTTAGGTTAACGTTTCCTCTAGACACGTCGTATAATTAGTTTTATAGACACATTGGCGTAAACATCGAAGGATTCGACAGTACTACCCGTAATACCACATAAAAAGGTTGAATATCTTTTAAAAAAATCCAATAATTTCCTTTAAATTCTAGCTTTGCATGTTATTATCGACCCTATATTTAATGCTGTGATTTAATCAAGAGGTCCGCTGTTTTTTCTTCTTCACGAACTCTTGTAGATAAAGTATCAACATCTGGATATAACATACAGTCACGACTATATTTCACGTATCAACCGCTCTCGACGTATTTAATGCCATAATTGACACATTAAATATCTCTGTCTAAGACAAATCAACACAAATGGTTCTGGATTATGTATGGAGAAAAGGCTGTGTATAATACAAATGATGTATCTGAAGTACATTACAATTTACAAACAAATATTAGCCGACATGCATAGAAACGAGAAATCATGAAACGTTTATGGGATTTTCATGATTATATTTGTTTATGTTTTTGTGTTTTACGTCCTATTAACAGCTGTGTCATTTAAGGACGTGCCAAGTATTGGTGGTGGAGGAAAGCCGAAGTACTAGCAGAAAAATTCACCAACCTATGGAAAACACTTTGCGACTGCCATCATTATATTATATTTAGTTTTAAGATGTTTAACTCTTTATAGATGAAGATCGTTTTCACCTTCCGTTTGGTTTTTGATGGTCATTGCACTTTTGTATAAAGATCAAATGACACAGTAAGCATTGACATTGGATTAATAAGATGCACCATAACATAAACTGTTGCTACAATATGACATTTGTTATGACACATGTATTTCTTGTGACAATCAGTAATAGTTTTTTTCTGATAATTATGTTGGTATATCGTTGCTTTAAATTTGATAGTGTTGTACAGAAGACTTGCTCCCCACAAAAGCAATCGTAGTTTATTGCTGACGTGAAGTAAAAAAAGTCGTACACAAGATCTCGGTTGATTTATTACGTCGACGGTACAGTGTAACTCCGATACTAGTCCATTAATATACACAATCGGTCTCCGTGTAATGCGTAATTCGTCGGATACGTTAATTTAGATATTCGGTCTCATATATAAACACGGCGTCCTTGAAA